TCTCCAAAGACTAGTGAATTGGTGGAACTGCATAAGAAAGGTTTAAGTGTTTTGATATCAGGATTAATTATCTCAAATTGATTTACAAAGTGCAGCAATCAAGGTTTCAGCTTGGTCTTGTAAAGGAAATAATGTATGCTGCACAAAATTTTACCTTCTAACCCTGTAAGTATGAGGCAAAGCAGCGCTTTGGAGTTAGTGGGTAATACTCTGCTCTCTGGCTTACTGCTTCATCCTTCAGAAACTCAGTTTTATGTACCTTCTAAACAGATATACTTATTGCATACAAATTACAATCTCCTGAAAAAAATAAATCCCTGCTTAACTGACTTTTTATTTTTTATAAACAAACACTGAGGAATTACCTCAGATTCAGCCATGACACAACGCACAAAAACTTCACTCCACTTAAGCAATTAAAACAGCAATTTTAGATACAGCATTCAAACTGTGGGGGGAAAAAAAACCCCAAAATTAATAGTTTTAAACATAATTATGCATAGCAGATCCATTGAAAAGGTAGGAAACAAGGCAAACCCAAGATTGCATATTGGTTATGAGGACAGGAAAACTTCCTGTAACACATGAGAGGGAATGGATAGAAAGGTAAGCAAGGGAGCTACACACACAAAGACTTTTTCAGGACCAAAGAACTTTCCTATACTCTAGTAACACTGGTCTGGGAATAAATCCCATCCCAGTCCCATTAGGATTTGGGCCTGGATTAAAGTCATGGCAGTATCAATTTAAAAAACACTAGGCAAGAGACGTTTCATTTCGAGCCTTCTACAAAAGGATTTACGATCACAAGAAAAAGTACTTACAACTGTAAGATCTCTCTATTCAAAGTTTTCAGTTCATGGACTCTTGTAAGCATCAACTTGTCTCAAGCTCCTCTGTTTCAAGAAGATTGCAGACAATATCTCAACCACCATTCCAGTCTTCAGCAGCCTCATTTTTCTCAACATTCTTCATCTGACATAAAATGATGAACTACTACAATAGTGTTTGTTTTCTGCCTTCGACTTCCTGCTAACTCCTAATTTTCTCTTGATCCAACACTGCTAGGAGTCTCACAGTTATTTCATAGAGCCATTCTATTTAGCAATGGCCTGACATGCATCCTTATTGTGGTGGGGTTTCCCTTGAGCTCCCATCTCTCTCGATGGTGAATAAATCCAGGTCTTCTCTGTGGTTCTAGATAAACACACAAGGCCCAGGGAATCACCGAAATGATGATGTACTGCAATGTCAGATGTAGTGCAGTGTAACAAGTGAGCAAGAAACCATGAGCAGCTGTGAGGCCCAACTCAATACTTGGAAATAATGTAGATCAATAGGAACTCAGGACAAGAGGAAGGTGTACAAAGAGCGCAGTAATGTGCAGTAACTTAAAATAGGCCTTGCAATCCAGTGCAAAATGTCCTTGTCCACATTAAGTCTGTGAACAGTGAGCAGTCACATGGTATGTATCTCATTAACAAAAACACCTCTGGTGCATCCACAGGGAAGAGATTCATTTTGACACAAACTAATATGCCACAGACAGAGCTTTCACGGAAAATGCCCTGACGGTAATTACCACTTGTTCTGACAACACATGTTACACTATGTCATGCAGGAGGTTAGAAGTAAGTAGTAACCAAATAGTTTTCCAAAGAAGCTGTTACACATGGAAGAATAAGCTTACAGACCTCTAGCATTTTTCATAAGGGGAAAGAAAAAAATTAAAAACATGTTGAGATTAACACACACAATCATCTGGTATAAGAAACTGAAGGTTTAAATTCCTCCTTCTCCTAATTTAGACCAGAAATTCTAAACTGTATCTACTGCATTGAATCAGGGACAAGTATTGAATCCCCCTGAAGTTTCCTTTATTTGTGGTTGTGCCTCTCCCAGGCTGGTTTGACAACCAAATTCTATCTTGCCAGAAGTGTTACAGCATTCTGCTTTTATTGCAGAGTGGGGAACTAATGAGACATTACCAGATTACACTTTGATCATACTTACACTGCGGGAAAGGTTAAAAGAATGCCCTCAACAGTTAACATATCCAATTCCTGACACAGTGACTGACACATTGAGTCACTCAATCAATTCAACGTGTGTGAACCTATGTGCTAAAATTAGGTACACCTCAATCCATACTAAACCATCAAAACACCTATGACTTCAGTCCTTACATATAGAACCACAAACCTACATTATGGCATTCAGACTTGAATGAAAAGACAAGTAAATTATCACTTTCATCCATGTCATTTGCATATTCAAAAGTTTTTTAACAACACTTTTCCAGTTTGCAGATGTCTTTAGCAGAGCAGAAAGACTCCCATTGCTTGAATAAATATGTCACACACTTGTTATGCAAGATTAAGGATTAAGAGCTCTCTCAAGTTGTCATAAAGCTAAAACAAACTTGGCTTTCCTCCCACCCAAATATTTGACAAAACTGAAACTGTGTTTAAACATTATTGGGATATACCATCAGGTGATCTAATTGGCACAGACTTATTATTAATGGCATCGTTAACCATAAGAATTTATTATTAATCTTCAATTATTCTTTAGGACCTTTTTTTAAAGTTATAGAAAGTAACTAAAATAAATGGCATTATCACATTCAGCTGTATGAATTAGAACCCAAGTGACTTAGAAGTGCAACAAAAATGGCTCAGTTAAATTGAGAATAATGTAAAAATCTATAGTTAAAAGACAGCAATAAATAAAGCAATTTAATGCACAAACTAATATTCACTTAAAATCAAGAAATGAGATCTAGAGCAATAGTCTAAAGTAAATACAGAATATTACTGGACTAAGTACTAAATGCACTAGCAGTTTAAAGATTTTTTGCTAGGAAACTTCTGCAATTATGCATTTATTTCTATCTAAATTACTAAAGCACAATTCACAGACTGAGTTCTGAATCCTGTGATTTTATTGCAAATCTTGGGATTTTTGAAGTACTTCATTAATTTGATGTCTCCATTTCAGGTTTAAGTAAAAATCATACTCTTCTTCAATCTAACTCAAATAAATCACTCAGTGTAACTTGAGTATATATCATAAAGATTCAAATCAAAAATCTATTTAAAACCCATATCTTAGAAAGTTTTTATATGTCCCTGAGGGAAAAAACTGCTGTTAGCACTTAGCCAGGACCAGTACTGTATTGAAGAAAATGCCTTCATTTTGCTATTTTTCTTATGATATACACATTAGGTTTTAAATGAGCTTTCAGAACACTGTTTTCTGAGCTTCATACATTTTCAGTGGCAAAATATCTTTTATGGTTAAAAGGTTTTGAGTTTTGTCTGTCTTCACTGAACACTTACCGGAACAGCTATGCTCTCCGACATGAAAACACTGACAAACTGGCAAATACATTAACTATCACCAGGGTCTCCAAATGTAAGTTGGTGGTAAAGACAAACTTATTTACCATATTAATTAAATGGCCTATTTAACATGGAATATCAATTCTCTAATCACATCTCATTTGAACTTCTTATTTCAATTAGCAACCCTAAAGCCTAATAGAGACCCTACTGTTCTAGGATCATTAAGAACATTTTCATTATCTGTCAAATGAGGGAGTAAAAGGCAGAAACTGCAAATACTCTCAGGAGTAGGCCTCTACCCTACTTAAGGGATGATTAGGGAGAAAGCAGCAGTAGTTCTCATTAGTTGCTTAGCAATGAAATGTCCCCCTATGAAACAAGAAATGAACAAAGCAACAGAGGTGTTGCCATGCAAATGAGTAAATGGAGAGTATATCATCCACTCAAGGATAATCTGTCCTTCATTAAACCTAATCAACCTGGATTAATACACCAATAGTTATCTTGCATAGAGAAGGTAAGAAGAATCCACTGTATGCAACCTCACTGAAGCAATCGGACAATGCATTGCTCAAGTTTATACGTAAGCATTGCATATTTTCACTATATGTGTGTACGACAAACAGAAGTACAAGGAAAACAATCTTATTTCAACCAGATTGACATAGTCATTTTTATGTTAAACCTTACCTTTTACATCCACAGTTACACCCAAATTATTAATGAATTATTGTTAACTATTAGCCATACTCTTAATGTTTATAATCATTTAAATCCTAAACTATAAATTTTAGCTTTAACCCACATTTGAGTTGGTTAAGTTTTCAAAATATATGCCAGGCACAAAGCTACATTGTTATTCATGTCATAAGCCCCAGAAGAGCAGAGTTTTTAACCAGAGAAATGCGATTACTGCTGCTTTAATTTTCAGACCCTAACTCCAGGCTGCCATTATTTCAGTCACACATGCAGTTCAATAGGTTCCCTTTATTTTGATTTCCCAAACAGTCTTTTAAAATGTTCCCTTGTTTCATGGGTATTTTCCTTGTTTTGGTGTGGAGTTCAGGGTTTTTTTGGGCAAGCATTATTGGGGTTTTGGTCCTGATTTTATATTTAGCTGCTGTTGTCTGGTTTGGGTCTTTTTTTAAAACACATGCTCATTTCATACATACAATTTCAAGTTTTCACCAAGAATATGAATCAGAAGAGAGAGAAAGAAAGAAAGGAATAATAAAACCACCTATGAACAAAAAAAGCATTGTGAGTACTGAACACTTGAGAAGTAGAAATGAAGATGAAAGTAAATACTAGACTGTGCTTCTTTCTCCTGCTCTCAGATCTGACAAACAAGAATGCTGTCTGCAACTCCTGCAGAGGGTTTTGGTTGGTTGGTGTCTGTTGGGGGGAAGTTTGTTTGGAATAAAAACATGGAAGATTCCTGTGAAGAACTCCAGTGACTACTTACACAAAATTTGAGTGCTTCTCAGTGTGTATTTAAAGAGAATACAGATTTATAATTACAGAGATTTACCATAAAATTCATGTATCAAATGACTCTTTGATTAGCTCATCCAAATCATTAGTCAGATTAAAATGGAAATGATGCTTCAAAACCAATGCCAATTAATAATTCAGTAATATGACAAATCTTACCTATATATTCACAAACGAAGACCACAAAAAAAGGAGTAACAAGATCATTTATGCCCTGAACGTATCCACTGGCTGGATGACGTATCGCCCAGATAAACAAAATTCTTTCAAAGATCTGAAAAAGAGTTAAAGAAATCATCAAACAATTTCACAAGTGTTGAGCACATTTTAAACAAGACACTTGAAAAGTATACAAGGACAAATTTACTATCATAGAGTTGCTAGTATTAAAAACACTCATCAAAAGCATAAATGAACACTGGTATTCATAACTAAGTTCCAGTGCTATGTAAGCTACTCAGTTCTTCCAAGGAAGAACTTTCAGGGTATTAGCACGTGTTCAAACCAATCTAGGATATAATTCATTATAGTACTTATAATACAGTAGCACTTACTCACTGGAGCTTTTCCAATAATATCTAATATCTTTTCCTTCAAGAGACAGAAATATTAAATGATTTTCCCATGATTTTTCACCTCTTTGAGACTAGCATTTTATTAATATAGTACTCTATTTATTCCTAAGTAACAGAAAGAAGTACTTGATATAGCTTAGAGTTTTCAACACCATGCCCATAGAAACAGTTGAATTTGCCCAATACTGCAGTATGCGGTTTTAGACTTCAGAATTCTGTACACTAGTTAATTAAAAACCTGACACAATCAGGAAATGTAGAAATAAGGCATCTACCTGCCATACCACAGAACCTCACCCTCTCAACTCTGTAAAATGCAGCTTACTTAGGAACTGCAGAAGCTCATAAGGCCACAACATATCCCAGCATGAGAAGAGTAGAACAGGGACATCACAGCACTTTTCTCTGACTCAGTTTAGGTTCATGACACGCTGTATTTCCTCTCAATTATTGCTTCTGAACATGCTACGTGCCTTTGAAAGGCTGCAAATAAGCAGCAGAGTGAAGGCTGCTACGTGCTTTGTCTGAATTACAGATATTCAATCAGGTGTCTGTAGTGCAAAACAAAAGAATGTTTGCTCATTCATGAGAGCACAAACCAAAGAGCTCTACTGCTCTTCAGTTCAGACTTCAATACTAATAAAAAAGGAGACATTTTGGAAGAACCTCAAGGATTGTGTAGTTTGCAAAAATCCCAGAAGCCAATGAATGTTCAGGCTTCAAGAGAGCCTGTAAAAAGACCTGCCCTGAAAGGATGCAATAGGGAGAAGAATTTTACTTATTAAGGTAGCATTATTTCTATGCAATCTCACTTCCAAGTTTCTGTTAGATTAAGAAGTTGCCTATTTTAATTCCCTTTTAACTGAATCTTATTTAGTTTAAAAGTCCTCTTGGAGCCATTTTTATGTGAGGAAAGGTCTCAGTATGTATGACTCATATCCTGGCGCTTCAAAGTGCCATCACAGGCTTCCACACAAGTTATCTGAGGCTGAAACATATCTGCACCTTTTGCTCTGAAAACGGGTCCCAAATATCAACATCTACTCTTTTCCCAAAGGCCTTTCTTTGATAATCAACTGTCCTCCAGGTTTTAAGTTTCCCTGGCATGCTGAAAATTCACAGAACAAGGGTGACAGACAATAACAAATACAAAAAGCTTTGGTGGGCACTGAAAAACAAGTCTCAATGCAGCTCACATCTGATCCATTACAACTACAATTAAGATTCAGCTTCTGCTCAGCATGATTTCAATTTTGGGGCAAATATTAGGCAGAAAGGGAGGTATTCATTCAGCAATTCTCCACAGAAGCCTCTTGTTTTCATTAGCCAAGATGCTTATTCTTTTAGCTACAAAGTCTTCTTGGTGTTAGTCCTGTCACCTCATGTTCTTTAACATGCTCTGCATACTAAACTGAAAATATACCAACCTCTGCCCATCAAGCAATAGTCAATGAGGTTTCATTGTCATTCAATAATGTATAATAAACACCTTAAACTCTTGCATGTTACATAATTATACCTTTATGAAATTACAGTTGTTTATGTCTATTTTCACTGATACTGGAAAACTGCAAATGTAGCTAGGCTAGTTAGCTCACAGGTACCCTGCCTGCTTCTGTCAGCTGTCACTTTAGTTCAGTAACAGCAGTTTCTCAGGATTATCAGAGTTACCACTCTGTGTTTCACTTCAGAAGAAGGACATTTAACATACTGCAAATACAAATAACTTTCTCAAAAAAACAAATGTCAGATAGAAGTGACTAGAGAAGCCTATTTAAATAGCAATTGCTGAATGCAGAACAGTGTTGGGCACTAGGCTAAATAAAAAACTCCTGATGTGATGGGATCACAAAATATGCATAGTGAAAAAAACCCAAACCAAACAAACAAAAACCCCATAGCAATTCAGTAACAGCTATCAAAATACCCATTGTTAAAATTACAGAAATAGTGGTTTTTCATGAAGGCATGTCTGGAGCCAACCTGCAAAGCTGTACCAACAACCTTTCCTCCCCTCAGAACCTGATAATATACACAGTTTGCTCTATAAATTTAAAGCCTATGGATTTTAAAACATTTTTAAAATGCAGGTATGAAAACTAAGAGGGTGGGAGGTGTCAGTGTTTGGGTTTGTTGGAGGGGGTTAATATTATTGAGCAGGAAGCACTGCTTAGTGATGGCAAACACCAGCTTTAATATCCCCAAATGCATCTAACCAGAAATTCAACAAATACACACTGAAATAGTATTTTCAATTTCCCACCCATTTTCATAAAGCTTCATTTACTGTTTTGAATTGAAAAAAATGAGAGCTAAAAACCTGAACAGCAGACTGATTTAAGTTCCTGTACAGCACTCATCACTGTGTTCAAATAGGACTCATTAACAAGGTCACTTTCCCAAAAGGTTCCCTCCTTGATTTCCAAACTAGCAACAGAAACCAGAATCACTTTTCTACTATGAACCACTACATCTCATGAGATGTCATTACCAATCAATTATTCTCTTTTGAATTTAACTCTCATTCATAACTCCAAGAACTATATTCATATACACAAAGAGAGGAATCCATTAGCTTAAATGCAGGTTCATAATTTCTTGTGGGTTTTGCCATCTCAGAGGAACTCCAAAACCTCCAAAGCTTTAATTGCAAAAGCTTTTGAGAACTTGCTTTTTGTCTTCTAAGCAAGTGAGGAGGGAAAAAAAAAGATGATATGAACACAAATTTATAAATTAATTTCAGTTGTGTAGGTTCTTTGAAATGATTATACATACTTTGCAAGCATAGACAGGAAATACACAGCCACGTACTTTTCATGTCAACAAAATTCAACTAAAGCAGGAAATAATTAATTAGACTATTCCACATTAACTAATCAAGTTTATTAATACCAAGCTTACAGTCACTAGTCTTCAAAATAAACTTGTCTGCACTATATGGAAGAAGATCTCCAGCTTCTCTGTCCTCCTTTTTGAAGGCCTCTATTTGGTTATTCTCACTCCTTTTAAAGTCCTCACTCCAACATAACCTTCCCCACATAACTCCCATAAAAAATGAACACTTAAAACCGATTTTTAAAGGAACATAGAATAACTAGCTCTTTCCACACATCAGATGCAAAACATCTTTTTCTAAACTGCAACATTTTATTACAGAAATCAAATTTCAAGTTCAGATAAGACATTAGAACAGCCTTATAAACTCTAATGAAATGTTCTTTGGGAACAGAGACTCTGATACCACCAAGAACAACAAAAATCTTGGAATAGAGACATTTGGAAATTACAGTCAGAAGGCAGTGAGGTTTATGCATGTCCTTGGTTTCTGAAGTTCTGACTAGTATTTTTGCCCAGTTTGGCCACCTACAATCTCTTCACCTCATTTTATTTGACATCCTTCTCAGCAGTGGCATCATTATTCTAAATCATCACAGCATCAAAAATATCTACAAAACCCATTATAACATCCAAACAACAGCCTTGAAATGGTGTCTTCCTTTGAAACCTGTCTTGGACCAATACCCTGACTCCCTTCCCTTCTTTATAGCTATTGCCACCTATCCTTAAGAAAGGGAAGTGACTGTTGCTCACCTCAGACCAGTACCATCTTTCCTCTCTCTAGAAGGGAGTGAGCTCTGGGAACAACACAAGGCCTCTGGCTGCACTGAGGCCTTAGGAGTAGGGAGGGATCCCCTGTGAGGCTAAGGGATTCAGTTGTGCTAGGGTAGGTCTCCAGAAACTCAGAAAGCAAGAGAAAGAAACATTGGAGAAGGTGGATATTACGTGCCTTTCAGCATCGATGGCATCAAGAAAGTAGGGCTTGGTTTCGATCAGAAAGCGAGCAAAGGCAAAGACACATGCAAGCTCACCCTCCCAGCAGCTCACCCATCTAGTCAGAAGATCCATGGAGCTCTAAAATGAATATCCTGCATCTCTGTAACGTTCAGGATACTTGTAAGTCAGCAAAAATTCTATCACTTCTTTATAACTCAAATCCTCCTAGATTTCCCCTTATCCTACTGACTGCTGCCATCCACCCTTTCCACATTCTTCTGTACCTCAAGACCACTCCCTCCCAACTAACTTCTATTAAAACACTTTAGTTTACACCTTTTTGTTTTAGTGTTAATGGCCATCACATCTCACTATCATTTTTCCATCCATTTGCTTACTACTCGCTAGGGATGAAAAACGGTGCCGAAGTAGGGAGACAGATGGGATAGGGTATGGACAGGGAAGCAATTTTGATGTGGTTTCTTTGGGGTTTTTTTTTAACATGAAAGCAGCAGCACTCTAGTTGTACAATGCCTTGATCCACTTTATAGGGATCAATTCTGCCTGTTAAGAGGCCCAATTTCCTAAACCTTCAAGCTAAGTACAATGAGCAAACAGAGATACTGAGCGGTATTCAACAGACTGATATAAAGAGCTGTATACATGAAATGGACTTACTAGTGCCTGAAGATAATTAAATGTCACTTGCAAGTTGCAATCACAATTTCTTAAAAGTGTGGGTTTAAAATATGTTCATTTTAAAGCAGTGTTTAAGTTTCATGTATCCAAGGGGGTATTAAGAAACACCTTTGGACAAGTTCAGCAAATAACTAGAAATTAAAAGATCTACTCTTATGAAAAAAAAAATCTAATTTTATGAAAAAAATGCAAATGAGATCTCAGAAAATAACATTAAATGAATATGCTACCGGAGCACTGTTAGCAGCCAAAAGGCAATTAAAACAAACAAACAAACAAAGATCTAGATAATTTCACGTTTACCTATTCCACAGAACTGAACGAAACTGCATTCCATACTCAAACTTTACTGAACAATACTTGCTATTGACATATTTGATTTTACTTAGCAAGAAGTTACTCAGTCACAGTACTCACTTTGCTTTTTTAATTACTCCCAAGCAATAAGAGAAGTGTTTTACTCTTGGAGTGTCTGCTAGTTCTGAAGTTGACTGTCAGCATTTTCATTAAACAGCCTGTGTTCAGATTAAGTATAATTCAGCTATAAAATAAAAATAATCTCCTTTCAACTGGGACTGCTTGTAAAAAATACTGCACTAGTACCTTTTTCACAGCAATATACTCTCCAAACTCACAAATAAACTCTTAAGCTCTAAGTTAATCACTCAACCAAAAAGGGATTCTAGCTATTCTGTTACTCTAATTCTTTTCAATGTCTTATTATGGGATGATTTCCCCAATACACTAAATATTTAACAAAAATACACATTTCAAATGCTGGAAAACCTTGATCAGATCTTTAATTATCAATACAAGCTTACTCTAACTTTTCTGTGTTACGGAAAAAATAGATATCCATGGTAAATACAAAGTTGTGTTCCTAAAAATTATTATCAAGTTTGCACGTAGTCTAAGCAAACATATTCACTATCTCATAACATCAGTCATATAAATATATCATCTCATGCATAATCAAATTAGCAAAAGACAAAACTAGTCCAAGATTCTACAGGTTTCTATCTGACAATGACATCATTTTACTAAACAACACTATCTCAAACTATTCTCCAATGAGAATATGGTATCTTAGTCTCATTTTTACTAAGCTACTGGACTACTCATCCAAATAATTCTGTTAAAACACAGGACATTAAATATACTCTATGAACGTGTTCACCTGGAATTTCTATTTCAAAGTTGCTTTTACAATTGTTCAGCTAATTTAGAAATAAATACACTATCTAGAAGTCATTCTTTAAGAAGTGCTTTGTACTTTGCAATTTTCCTTTAAAAACAAGAATACACATAGATTCTGATGCCAGACAAATCAAACAGCTTCCAGTCTCTTCTTCACCAAATCACAGGGGTAAAAAACCATCAGCATTTTGGCACATTTTCAGCCAAATTAAGAACTATAGAAACACAGTCACTGTACAAATGAAACACAGTCACATTCAACTGAGACACAGATAATCTTCACTGAAACCTTAAGAATAGTTAAATCATGCAATACAAGGAACTATATAGGTCACCCCAAAAGAGGAAAACTTTATTCTTCCTTAGAATAATTTAAGAGAGTATTGCAGACACAGTACAAGCATTTCTTTCCTCTGAGAAGTATTTGAGTGTTCTTCTTCTTCCTCTAGCCATCTCTTAATGAAATAATTCACCTTCAACTTGATTTATTGGCTCATTTCTAGCTACAATACTGACACTGATCTTATTCATTTCTTTAATAGTGTATTTCTTGCAGATATTGTTTCCCTTCTTGCCCCTTGATTTTACTTATATTACTCTTTGATTCACCCCTAGAAAAGCCCACGTAAAACAGCACTTGGTAGAAAGCAGGTGAAAGAACTATCTTTACACTATTATCTTTCAAAAAACTACTAGGCTATTTCTTAAACTGATTTCTCCAACACATGTGGAAAAGAGCTTCCATTAAACAAATAACTACAACAACAGAAAAACAAATGAAAGTCTGTTCTGCATTTCACTTCTCATAATGAACTATCAGAAGATCTTCTCTTTTGCAAAATGATATAAACAGAAGACACATGGAACCACATTTGAAGGTCTAACTAGAATCATTAGAAAGAAGAATAAATGGAAGAATTGAGAGAAATAACTCAAAAAGGGTGATCCACACTTCCTATACTATTTATGACATATATATTTTAAAATTAAGAGTCCCCATGAGATTCAATTATCCAACAGTATAGGCAAATTTGATTAACATATTTACCATTCATCATATTGAATCATATTATATGTACATTGATCATAGAATTACAACAGTAGTAAAACAATTTAGTGTACTAAACAGAAAAAAACTTACAAGGAAGCAAAATCAGGTAAGACACACAAAACAGTTAGGCTACAAATTCAAAAAAAAAAAAAAGGAAAAAAATAATTTCCCAAATGGAACATTCAATGCTACGAAACCCATGGGGCTATGCTCTGGATTACTTCAAAAACACAGTATTCACAAAATATAGAAAAAAGAAAAAAGGAAAAAAAAACCAAAACCTCAAAGGCACAAGACCAAAGAAAAAAATGACAGACTGAATACAGCAAAATTAATGAGATGCCTTTGTTTTTACTACTCATATCTGCACTGCTATTCTTAACCTACACTTATATATCCTCTTTTTTTTTAACTTGCCTAAGGTAATTCTGAAGTCAAAATAGCAACTGCTGTCAAATTAATTATTAATCAAACTGTGACATCAGATTCATTAATAAAATGCTTTCTCTAACAAAAAAGTCTTTAGATATCGTTCTTACCTCTGTTACTTTGGGCTGAAGTCTTAAAACTTCAGGACTCATACGTGGAATATCTATATGGATCTAATTAGACAAAGAGGAATACTGTAAAAGGAACCAACAGCACACTTTCTAAATAACACAATACTTAGAATAACTATCATTTATGATCAGTTACAATTCTGGTGTACCGTTATTTTTGGAATAACATGGATTTTTACTGCATTTCAAAACACAGAGCCAAATCTTTAAGTCATTGCTAATCTATCAATGAGGCAAAAGGAAGAAAAACACATGTACTTTGTATTCCCCTTATGACATCCTTATATCTTAATTATATCTTAATTATTTGCAAATTATAGTCCTATTGTCAATATTCATTACCTCAGGGTAACTGAGTAAATATAATACTACTACTTCTGTAAACTGCCTGTTATAGAATCACAGATTCATTTAGGTTGGAAATGGCCTGTCTTATATCTTAATTATTTGCAAATTATAGTCCTATTGTCAATATTCATTACCTCAGGGTAACTGAGTAAATATAATACTACTACTTCTGTAAACTGCCTGTTGTTATATCACAGATTCATTTAGGTTGGAAATGGCCTGTAAGATCACCAAGTCCAAAAGCTGAAAGGTAAAAACATTGTTTAATGCCTATTGTAATGAATTTGACAATCAAGGAGAGAGCAGAAAAACACCAGGATTTTTAAATTTTTAGTCCAAACTTCACAAAGGAGTTTCATGCAGCAGAATCCTAAAGTGAGTATTTTGGGCTCTATATACAAGTACCTTATGTTAGTGATGCTATATATACTTCTTGATACTAAAGATCAGGCTCAAAGCTGAAAGAAAGATCTCAGCCTCTTGTGTCCTAAGGAGGGCTCAAGTAGTATTGCTTAGTCTATACTTAGTGTTACAAACTATTCATTTTAACACAAAACTTGAAGAAAAGTCATCTGCTTATCTGGGTGGGCATGAAAGTTTGAGATCTCTATGTTTATAGCACATCATACACAATTTCAAATTCTTAAGCAAAGGAATGGAGCCAGTAAGAAGCAGTTACTGTTATACTTTCCTTGTCCATCCTCACTCACTTGAAGGGGTCTGAGAGGAGATGAAAGGGGTGAAAACACTACTATTCACAAACAGAAAGCCATGGCAGCACCAAATGCTACTGCCACATGGCAACACTAAAGCTGACAATAAAAGAAAACCATTCTTTCAAATTTCAGACCAAACTACTTCATATTTTTGCTTCTGAAATTCAGGAAAATTATTAGAGAGTTGCCTATCAAATCAGATTAAGGAAATAGAGAAAAACACTAGCAAAATTCAAAACTAATCTCTAAATTCCTTAGCAGGTGTTATGTAGGTAAAAGTCACATCAATAGGTGTTCTACCTGTCTGTAGGTATCTTGGTGATTTTCATCATTTCTGGAATCATAGTATTGTTCAACAAATGCAAAATACTCTTTGCGTTTTCTTTGTAAAGTGCTTTCTCTTCGGTCCACATTTGCAGGAAGATAGCCCTGGAAAAAAACAGTGGAATGAAAAGGATATTACTCTGTGCCTCACAAAAAGCACTGCTTCCATTCGACTGCACGAGACAGGAAAGCTAATAAACTGATGTAGTACCATGTAGTCCCTACACAGATCTGAATAATCCTTCACTAAACCATCTTTCCAATCACTGCAACTGGTACAAAAGTTCAGTACAAACA